TTCCATCATGACTCATCCAGCCCCTCAACAAGGCGCGTTTTCATCCTTTCTTGGTGGGGGCGGTGGGGGCGCGCCTTCCTCCTCATCGGCCTCAGGTCCAAGGTCTGGCTGTTGTTGGAAGTTTAACGACAGTCTCTGTAAGTGGGACTCTTCATGCCGGTTTAAGCATGAGTGCTCCGGCTGCGGCGGGGCCCATCCTGCCTCTCGCTGTTTCAAGTGGGGAAAAACGGTTGAGAAAGGGGACTTGGGGGCTAAGGGCGACGACTCCGGTCCTCGTAAACGTGATGCGCCCGTGGCTCGACCTTTATAGGAATATCCTGGTGGAGGGGTTTGAGCAGGGGTTTTGGATCCCGTTCTCTGAGCGCCCTCCGCTGCTCTCAGTACGCAACCTCAAATCTGTGCAGGCTTTCCCTCAGGTGGTACCGGAAATGTTGGATAAGGAGGTCTCATTGGGGCGGATGACCGGCCGTTCTCCGCCCCACCGATGGCTAATTTGCGTGTTTCTCCTTTGGGTGTGGTGTCTAAGAAGGATCCCGGGAAGTATCGTTTGATTCACCATTTGTCGTACCCTCAAGGGGGTGCGGTGAATGATGACATTTCCTCTGAGCTTTGTAGGGTCTCCTACGCTTCCTTCGATGCGGCGGTTCACATGGTAAGGGCGGTGAGTCCGGGGGCGTTGCTGGCTAAGGCTGATGTGGAATTCACTTTCCGGCTGCTCCCGGTGCATCCGGAGTGCCATCATCTTTTGGTTGCGACTTTGAGGGACAGTTTTTAGTGGACATATGCCTCCCTATGGGTTGCTCGCTATCCTGTTTCTATTTTGAGTGCTTTAGCACTTTTCTGGAATGGGTGGTGCAGAGGGAAGCTGGGGTCGCTTCCCTCCTGCACTACATAGATGATTTCCTGTGTGTAGGTCCGGCGGGATCACACATCTGTTCCCTCCTGCTGCAGGTTCTCGGGGACGTGTTTCTGCGCTTCGGAGTCCCGTTGGCTCATGACAAGACAGTGGGTCCGGTCACGTGTGTGAGCTTTCTGGGCATCGAAATTGATTCGATTGCAGAGGAATGTTGGCTGCCACAGGATAAGGTTTTGGACCTGCGCCTAGCGGTGTCCCAGGCCTTGGGGCGGCGTAAGATACAGCTGCGCTGCCTGCAGTCTCTACTGGGGAAGTTCAATTTTGCCTGTCGAATCCTGCCTATGGGGCGCATCTTTAATCGGCGCCTGGCGGCAGCAACGTCAGGGGTTGTTCACCCGCGGCATTTTATCCGGCTTACCTGGCCCTTGCGGGCTGACTTGGCCATTTGGGATTCCTTTTTGGCTTCCTATGATGGCAGGTCCTACTGGCAGGCACTGGAGGTCTCTAACGCCGACCTCCATTTGTTCACCGATGCGGTGGGTTCGGCTGGCTTTGGGGCCATTCTGGGCGCCAAATGGTGCACTGACTCTTGGCCGGAGGCCTGGCAGGGGACGAGGCTCACTCGAAACTTGGCGTTTCTGGTGCTCTTCCCTATCTTGGTGGCTTTGGAAGTGTGGGGCTCCATGCTGGTGGATAGATGGGTGGTCTTCCATTGTGACAACTTAGGAGTGGTGCAGACGATCAACCAGCTGTCTGCTTCCTCTCCCCCTGTGGTTCGCTTGCTGCAGCACCTAGTTCTGCGTTGTCTAGAGCTGAATGTATGTTGTAGGGTTGTGCACATCCCGGGTGTTCGTAATGTGATGGCCGATGCTCTCTCTCGTTCACAGTGGGACGTGTTTCGGGCAATGGCTCCTCAGGCCAAATTGGTGGGTGTCCCGTGTCCGACAGAGATGTGGTCCTTGGGTCTGAAAGACTAATGGAGTTGGTCCGTGGGTCGGTGGCTGCGGCCACATGGGACCGCTATAACAAGGTTTGGAGGGAATGGGACAGGTGGGAGAGGTCCCACAGGAGTTTCAGGGACTCCTCCGCTCGCCTGCAGGGTTTAGTTCTTCTCTTTAGGGATTGGGAGGCTGCGGGCTTGTCTCCCTCGGCCGTTTCGGCGTTCTTGGCAGGGCTCAGCTTCCTGTTTAAGTTGCGGGGTTGGGACGACGCTACCAAGTCGTTCATTATACGGCAGGCGCTGAAGGGTTTGAGGCGGGGGAGGTTGTCTACACGAGGCTTGAGGAGTCCTGTCTCGGGCACGCTCCTAACTACTTTGTGTGAGGCGTTGCACGGCTTTGCCATTCGGATTTCGAGGTTCGGCTCTTTCGCCTGGCCTTTTCCTTGGCATTTTTTGGGGCAATGTGGATTGGGGAGCTGGTGTGCCCCAGCCGGAAGCAAGTGGGGGGGGGGGATGCTGTTCGGGGACGTTTCATGCACCGCTGACCGGATCTCGTTCAGGATCTGCCGCTCTAAGACGGATGTCTTGGAGGGGTAAGTGGGTCCGGTTGGGGTCCGCGGCTCCGGCATCTGTTCTGTTTGGTCCTTTGGGGAATATTGTGCTTTGCGCCCTTCCCCCGCGCTGCCACTCCTGGTACACGGGGATGGTAGTTTCCTTTCTCATTTCCAGTTTATTAGAGTGTTTCGTTTGGGGCTGGAAGCCGCAGGATTGGATAGCAGGGAGCTCGGGGGCCATTCGATCCGTATTGGGGTGGCTACCGAGGCCTCTAGGCTTGGCATGCCGGCGAAGGTGGTTCGAAGGATTGGTAGGTGGGACTCGAGACGTTATGTTTCCTATGTTCGTCCAGCCGGTTTATTGACATGATTTCTTTCCGCAGTTTCGTTTCCCACCAGGATCTGGATCATCGGGCACTCTTATGTTTACTGGGCTGGGCAGCGTGCGGCGGTTCGGCCTGGAGGCGAAAGGTTGGGTTTCAGGCTTCCGAAGCAGAAGTTCGATGGCTCGGGGTAAGGGGTATAAGGTGGTCCCGGCTCCTACCCGAGTTGGTGCAGTTGTCCCATCTCCTGGGGGCGCCGAGTGTCCTGGTGATCCACCTGGGGGGGAATGATCTGAGTTTGGTGCCCATTTGGGATTTGATTTCGGCGGTGAAGCGGGACTTAGCCCGCGTTTTGAATTTGTTTCCCAGCGTGCGCTTAGTGTGGTCTGAAGTCATTGCCTGTAACTATTGGTGTGGCGCCAGGAGCCAGAGTGCGATGGAGCGTTGCAGACACAAGTTAAACAAGCAGATTTCCCAGTTTGTTTTGGGGGTTCGGGGGATCCCGGTCCGCCAGAGGGTTTTTGAGCGAGAGGCGGCTCAATTTTTTCAGGGGGATGGGGTACACCTAACGAAGGTCGGGCTCGACCTTTTCAATCTCGCCCTTCAAGAAGCGGTGGAACAGGCCATGGGAGGTTTTGGTGGGGCTCCCCGCTGATTTAGGGGTAAAGCAGCGGGTCTGGTGGCGGGGGTATGTCCTTGCCAAATAAGTTTGAGGGGTTATGTTTAAGGATGGAGTAAGTTTTTTATGTTTGGCAGGTATCAACCTCCCCTGCTTCAAAAGGTTAATATTAGGTTGCCTGAGGTATCGTGCCCATCGAGTGTGGATAAGGTCGGCTGATGGCGGGCATTGGAAGGATTTTTTATGACGAGGGGGGAGGTGAGAGGACGTGGTGATTAGGAACCACTGGATGTTTATCGGTTGGGTCTCTGCATAGCACTATGTTTTAGTTATTATATGTATATATGTTAATTTATGATTATTTATTTCTAACAATTTTTAGAACGCTTATCAAGCTTCTCGGTAAGCCGCTCCTGCACCACCCGATGGAAGTCTCATATGGGCCGAAAGGTCCTGCTCGGAGAGCACTCACGTCCCCTATCCCGACAGATAGGACCGAGGACCCCATTTTCCATCGGCGAATTCCCACCAACCCAGCTCACCCTAGGAATGACACGCGTCACAGAGAGTGTCCTGACAGCAGAACCCCGTGGAGCCCTCTCCCCGACAATGCTATCCAGAAACATACGATGCCCTCACACTTCCCGCGTGTCATGGGGTGCAACCGATTACGGTATTTTTCCCCCACACCGCACCTGGAGTCCCTCCCAAGCATGGGGGCCCCCGCAGCATGAGGGAACATGCCGCGCTATTAGCTGCACAGGGTGCTGTAGGAATCTGTACTTTAACATATGATAAATACTGATAAGGGGGGGTAAATAACCGGAGTGGACTCCCTGGTAAGCGGCGTCCAGGTACCGTTTTCCTTTCTTTCTTTTTAAAAATCTTTTATTTCTCATTCTGTTCAGGTATTCATTCAGGTTTTTTTTGTTTGTTTTTTGCGTGCTAAGAGCCCCCCCCCCCAGCTCTAAAGGGACTCGACTGGATACAAAGAAGGGACAACGTACTCACCAGCCAATGCCCAGTGCACAGGGCCGGCCTTAGGCAATTAGGCGCCCTGTGCAAAAAGTCTTCACGGCGCCCCCCCCCACCTCCCACCAAGTTGCCTGAATACAGTAACACACACAGGCACTGGGGACGTGTGTATCACGAGGCAAACAAGGCATCTGCCTTGGGCGCCACTTTGCAGGGGGCGGCAAAAAAAAGCATCCCTCCAAACCCCCAGGCAGATCCCTTGCTTGCCTCGCATCCTGGGGGGCTCAAGAGCTGACCGGCTGGCCACTTTTGAGCCCCCCCAAGGCTGGCAGCGGGCAGCGAAGGAGCATACTCACCTGAGCTCTTCCTGCTCAGCTTCCTCTGCGCCGCTCAATGAAGCCGGGAGCCAGAATATGACGTCAGTCCGGCTCCCGGCATCACTAAGCGCTGCTTACTCAGCCTGTGCGCCCCCTGCCTGCCTGCCCAGCAGCCACACTGGACTGCTGGTAAGAAATCCACTCCAGCTTTCCCAGGGAGGCTGGGTGGATTTAAAATAAATGTAAAAAATATTAGTTTGTGAGTGTTAGTGGAAATGTCTGTGTGTGTGTCTGTGAGTGTTTATTTTGAAGTGAATGTGTGTGTGTGTGTGTGTGTGTGTGTGTGTCTGTAAGTGTGTAATTGTGTGTGTCTGTAAGTGAATGTGTGTGTGTTGGTCAGTGAGTGTATATGTGTCAGTCAGTGAGTGTGTATGTGTCAGTCAGTGAGTGTGTATGTGTCGTCAGTGAGTGTGCATCTGTCAGTGAGTGAGCGTCTGTCAGTCAAAGTGCGGCCTTGACAGGAAGGGGTGGGGGAAATTTAAACTCGGTTACAGGCATGTACACACACACTCAGTTAAAGGCAGTCACACATACAGGCAGGCACAGGCACAAACAATGGCACAGCTACAGCGACACACACAGACAGACAGTCACATAGGCAGTCACACACACAGACAGACACACAGTAACACACACATAGACAGTTATACACACACAGGCAGGCAGTCACACAGATAGAAAGTCACACACACAGGCAGGCAGTCACACACAGACAGATAGTTACAGACAGACACACACAGCAGGCAGGCAGTCACATACAGGCAGTCACACACACAGACAGACAGTCACACACACAGACAGTCACACAGACAGACAGTCTCACACACACAGGCAGTCTCACACACACGGGCAGTCACACAGACAGACAGTCACACACACAGGCAGTCACATACATGGGCAGTCACACAGACAGACAGTCACACACACAGACAGTCACACACAGGCAGGCAGTCACACACAGAGACAGTCACACACACACACAGAGACAGACAGTCACACACACACACACACACAAGGACAGACAGTCACACACACACACACAGACAGACAGTCACACAAACAGGCAAACAGTCACACACACACACTTACCTCTTTCCAGTGGATGCAGTTGGCTGATGGGGAAGCATCTTTCCCTCTTCCTGTACAGCAGGGGCTTCGGGAGGTATTAGCCCCGTCTCCGCCTCTCGATAAGCCCCGCCTCCGCCGCTCGGTAAACCCCGCCCCCTCTGCCGCGATTTTTTTTTTTTTTTAAATAGACCCGGGTGGAGAATAATTAATCCTCCAGCCAGGTACCTCTTTTAGCTCCCCTGCACTCCGGCCATGAGTGAGCTGTGTCGGCCACAGGGCGCCCCCTGTTCCATGGCGCCCTGTGCGGTCGCACAGCTCGCACACCCCTAAGGCCGGCCCTGCCAGTGCACAACCCACGGCATAACAAGCGTAGAAGTCCATGCAGAAGATATTGAAATCTGCTTCCACTGTGGTCCTCCAAGGTGTTCCAAGCGCCACCTGCTGGGCATTTCTAAGAACTACAGCCAGGACCTGTGAGAAAGGCATGGAGAGGACGTGCCACCAGTAGGCAGCCGACGTAAGTAACCAGCAGAGAGAAGAACAGAAGGCAGAGAAAGAAGAGCAGAAGGCATAGAGGGAAGAGCAGAAGGCAGAGAGGGAAGAGCAGAAGACACAGAGAGAAGAGCAGAAAGTAGAGAAGACCGAGGAACAGGTAAGAGCAGGGGAAGAGAAGAAAAGGGGGGGAGGACAAAGAGGAGAGAAACAGAGAGAGGGGAAGGGGGAAAAGAACAGAGAGAAGGGAAAAGGGGGGTGAAAGAACAGAGGGACCGACAGAAGGAAAACAGGGGGACATCAGGGGAGGAGCTGAGCCCCCCTCCCCCCTCGGAATGCCAAAAGGGGAACCGGAGAAAAGAGGGAGGGAAGGGAAGAAATTGAAAAAGGGGGGTGCAGGGGAGAGAGGCCCAGAGTGATGTGAACAGCAAAGCACCCAGGGAGACATTTAGTAAGAATATCACCACATTTATAGTTTGTCTTAAAGGAACGCTATAGTCACCTAAATTACTTTAGCTAAATAAAGCAGTTTTAGTGTATAGATCATTCCCCTGCAATTTCACTGCTCAATTCACTGTCATTTAGGAGTTAAATCACTTTATTTCTGTTTATGCAGCCCCTGGCTATGATTGACAGAGCCTGCATGAAAAAAAAAACTGGTTTCATTTTCAAACAGATGTAATTTACCTTAAATAATTTTATCTCAATCTCTAAATTGAACTTTAATCACATACAGGAGGCTCTTGCAGGGTCTAGCAAGCTATTAACATAGCAGGGGATAAGAAAATCTTAATTCAACAGAACTTGCAATAAAGAAAGGCTAAATAGGGCTCTCTTTACAGGAAGTGTTTATGGAAGGGAGGTGTGACTAGGGTTCAAAAACAAAGGAATTTAACTCCTAAATGGCAGAGGATTGAGCAGTGAGGCTGCAGGGGCATGTTCTATACACCAAAACTGCTTCATTAAGCTAAAGTTGTTCAGGTGACTATAGTGTCCCTTTAATGTCTCAACCAGGTTGTGATTTAAAAGCAGCTTACTCAGTGCTGTTGGAGCTGAGTACATACACTGATAAGAAAGTTTTTCTGCCATGCTGGGGCATGGTATGGAGAAAGGTGTATTGCAGGGTGCTCAAAAGGTAGATCCCCAGATGTTGTACAACTAGAACTCCCATCGTGCTTTGCATGATTTCCGAATGCCTTTATAATGACAAAGCATCATGGAAGATGTAGTTTTAAAACATCTGGGGAATCTACCTTTTGGGCACCCCTCGTGTATTCTGCAAAACATTTTTTTTGCGTGTGTGCAAAAATGATAAATCTTTGAGCTTGCAAAAAGTACAGCCTATTTCTGGATGCATTCAAGTTGTATTGGTGCCTGGAGTGTCCTTTTAAGTTAAAGTTGTTATGGTGTTAAATCACGCTACCAGTGACACTGTTTTAATTGACGATGTTTGTAAAAAATATTTAATACGTGGCACCATTAAACCAGGATGTTGTATGTATACAGATGGGGCGAGACTGGCAAGTTAATTTATGACTTGGTAGGTAAGAGAAGTGGAAGTCTTCACACAATATTCCGCCTTATGTTATTGACATTGGCAGCCATTGCCCAGGAAGGGTGAAATATTGCTCTTTCCCAATGTGGGATGTGCAATCATATTAAACAGTATTTTGGCTTGGGAACATGGATGTATGCAGTATATTTTGAAAATCTTTCTCAATAATTAAGTTTGGAACAGTTATATGTATAGCATATTACAGGCCAAGCAGCCATTTACTTTGGAACATAGAGGCTTAAAGCAACACTATAGTGACAGGAATACAAACATGTTTTCCTGTCATGCGCGTCCCCAGGAATTTTTCAGAGTGGGGGGTGAGGGGGTGGTGTAATTGTAATGACATTCATGCTTGGACCCTTTTTGACAGTGTCACGAAGGGGAGGCGCAGAGTCATTATCACATTAAGCACAGGCATGCAAAAGATTGAGAAACCTGATGTAAAAGCTCAATAAAAGATATACCACAATTATGTGGTATATCTGCTTACCCCCTATCCGTAGAGATTTAATAACTCGTTAACCAGACACATGGCAAGGAAACTTTTTTTGTTGTTCTCTAGCTGTCTGGCATTTTGCTTTCTGTTGATTAAACAAAAGACATGATAAAAGTTTAAAGGCAGCACATCATTCAAGAACCAAAATATTTTTTGCCAGTACAAACTAGTCAGGATAGGCCAAGGTTGTGTGCTCTGAAGCTAGTAGGAGATGTAACGTGATGAAGCAATCTGCTAAAATTGAAGAGAAATGAAAGAATTAACATACTTTTTTTTTCTGGTAATGTAGAAAACTGAGTGGTAGTGCAGACTGTGCATTGTCGAATGAGACATCATTTAGCTACATAGTGCTCTGTTGGAACAATTTGCTTAAATGGAACACCTTTAAGTTACTGGCTAATTGTGTGTGCTTGGGTAACAGTTTTGAAATTTTCAAGGACTGGATTATGAGAGGTGATGTGGCTGAAACAATTGACTTGAAAAAACAAGTTGAGTTTATAGGATATAGTTGAGATGGGCAGATGATAGATCAGAGATCAAGAGAATGAAGGTCTATGAGGGAAAGCTGGGCCATCTTGCGGACATGACGTTCGGTAGGGGGGATATTGATATTGCAAGTCTGCAGGTGTGCTGGAAAATTCAGAGGCTGAACACATATCAGAAATAATGAGAAAGATAGCACTACTGTCCAATTGCTTGAGACCAAATTAAGGAATCTAGACTCATCACTGTGGGCAGGGTAGTGATGGGGTGGTTACAATTCCAAGGATACGGATAGTGCATGCAGAAAAAAATTAATTGAATCAGGCAAAGAATTGTTTCAGGAAAACAAAATGATGTACATGAGCATTAATATTAAAAGCCATAACCATACCTTACTAGATCGGATTCTCTCCAGTTGTCCTGACAGAATCCAGGAGGCGGGCGTCCTCTGTAAAAGTTTCAGTGACCACTGTCTAGTATACTACATATGCAAAAATAAAGGCCACTAAATCCCCTCCCAAGATTATAATCACCGGGTCTTTCAAAAAATGTAATCGTGAATCCTTTTTAAACGATCTCAAGAACATACCATGGCACAGATTAGGTCTAATACCAGATCTAGACTCTGCAATTGCATTTTTTCTGTCCGAGCTCTTGCGTGTTTGGAACTTGCATGCCGCTCTGCGTAAAGTGTATATAAAAGGGACACACCTGCCCTGGGTTTCAGCTGACCTCCTTAAAATGTACCAGTTTAGAGAATCACTGTGGTCAAAGCTCAAGCGTACTGGCTCCATGAAAGATCACTGTACTTACAGACAATGGCAAAATGCATGCACAAATCAAACAAAAATGGCAGACACAATATTTCAGGGAAAATTTAAACAACAACCTATCAAACCCAAGAAACTTTTGGAAAATCATAAATAGCATTCAAACCCCCACAATCCACTCCCAACCCTCCACTGTCAAAATGGACAACCAAACACTGCAACACCCCCTAGATGTAGCAAATGCCTTTAATAAGTATTGTGTTGGATGTGTTACCACCCACATTGCAAAGATAACAAATGACACTCATTTTCAGACCGTAAATAAACATCAGGCCCTGCCAAATCTTCAAAATCCTCATATAGAGAAATTCAATATTAGACCTGAGCCTGTTAGCGTTGTTAATAAACATCTTAATAATTTAAAACCAGTGTGGACCAGATCAAATCCCAGCAATGTTGCTGAAGCTTAGTGCGCCAGCAGTTTCTAAACCTGTCACTATCCTTATCCATAAATCCCTGGTGTCAGGATACATACCCAAACTCTGGAAAACTGCAGAAGTTGTACCTATCCATAAAAGTGATGATAATACTTTGGTATCTATCGCCCGATATCATTGCTCCCTGTATTGTCAAAAATCTTGGAAAAATGCGTCCACATGTAACTATGTGAATATTATCAACGATCAAAATATCCGACCCCTGATCAATCAGGATTTCATCCAAATCACTCAACTTCTACTGCCCTCTTAAAAGTTTGCACTGACATCCAAATTGGCATGGAACAAGGAGACCTAACCGGAGCTATTTTCCTGATTTTGCCAAGGCCGTTGACACAGTAGACCATGGAATTCTTTTGCAAAAACTTAAAAACTCTGGCATTGGTGATCGTCCGCTAACCTGGTTGGATCGTATGTTTCAGACCGATTGCAATATGTGGCCATTTCTGATAGCGCTTCCCTCCCTAATTTACGCTTGTAAACCCAAGCTACCGCAGCATGAGGCTGTGCTTCAAAACCAATTCAAAGAGGTAGAAAAGTGGATAGCGGATAACAAACTCTTCATAAAAACTGACAAAACTGTTACAATGATCTGTGGAACTGTACCTTAATTACGTAAACTACAAAATCAACAACTGTGTATCAGAAAAAAATTCAAATAGCACACTGACAGCAGTCTGCTCTTTTAAATATCTAGGTATGTTACTAGACCCCAATCTATCCTTTGGCCTTTACATTGAAAACAATCTCTTCAAAACTTTACCCAAAACTAGGTGCCCTGTACAGAAACAAATCCTGCCTAAGCCCTACAGTAAGGAAATGGATAGTGCAGCGAATGCTAATGCCAGTCATTGATTATGGAGATGTAGTG